ACACATACACACACATGCCATTGGGTGTCCATGGCTGAGTGGGCGTGTAGAGTGGGTTTTATGACTGTGTCAGATTAGTTTCTCAGACTTACTACCGTTCTTGTCAAGGGTTTGGAGCTGCAGTCTGCCATTGGGTGTCCATGGCGGAGTGGGTGTGTGGGATTGCAAGTTTGGTGTGCGTAAAGTCTACCACTTATCTCAGGGGTGTCGCTGATGTAGCGAGTTCTCATCCATCAGTCAAATGAATCCTGGGCAGACTGTCGGGGTTCAACCTCCTGATGAGTCGGTGGAAGTCCGACGAAACAGTCTGGCACAGTCATGCTTTTTTGGAGTGTATACACTGTATAGCGAATATGACAACACACACACACACACACACACACACACACACACACACAGAGGACCTGCCCTCCAGCAGTGAGCACTTCTGAATGGAAGTGCTCGCATTGGGAGCACCCAACTTATCGGGCAGGTTGGGGCATCTGGGCAGCTCCCTCTAGCCGTCGGTCCCCCGAAAGGGTCTGACGGCTGGCCCGACATTTCGTATCCCCGCAGGTGAAAAAAAAGGCAGCGCGGGTGGGTCCCTGACTGCCGAGGCCAGCCCACCACGCCACCAAAACGGGGTTGCCCCTCCCCGCTGGCCATGGCACTCTTCGGCGGGGGGTGCTCTACCCCGTTGAACTGGGGAAAGGACGGGGGTTGAGCGGGGTTAGGATGCCGCTCTATGGTTAGAGTGGGAACCCCCCGTTCTACCCGCCCCGCCCCCCAAACACTCTAGTGCCTAGAGATGTCAAGTTCCTGATTGAGTTCTGAGGACTTAACCCAGACCTTATCTCCAACCTGAAATGTACACAGACTTCTGTGTTTGTTTTCAGATGGAATCATTGCATCTTGCGATTTCTTAATCTGCTCGACAGCCTGCTGCAACATTTTATCATACTGGACAGGGAACTCTATGCTGCCGGGGGCTGCAGTCTGTCTGCTTTCAGGTAGAAGGAAGCCGATGCAGGTCTAGTCTTCCAACCAAGATGCAGCTGGTTGGGAGCCTTACCGGTGGTAATGTGCTCAACATTGTTGTTTAAGCTGGTGATGAGAGGCGATTTTTAACACCAGCCATCCTGGCTCGGCTTGATGTAATGCATGAGCAGATGTTCCACTCGGCTCATCTTCTCTACCGGGCCGTTTGCTTCAGGGTGATTTCCTCATTTGCAGCTGGGAACCCATCTTGTCGACCGCTTTCTTCCACCTTCCGCTTGTGAAACAGACATCTCTATCACTGACTATAGACTTTGACAAGCCAAAATCACACACACATGTTCGGTCTTCACTGTCTCGGGCAAAGAAACCATCTAGTGTACTTAGAAAACCAGTCTACTATACACTCTTNGACAAGCCAAAATCACACACACATGTTCGGTCTTCACTGTCTCGGGCAAAGAAACCATCTAGTGTACTTAGAAAACCAGTCTACTATACACTCTTGCTGGTCATAAGGGTGTCCATAAAGTCCATGGACAAGCTCTTACCCGGTCCAGCTGGAATAGGCAAGGGCTTAAACCACTAGTACCTCCGCCGGCTATCAAGTCCAAGGCTCGGACTACCGGTAGCCCGAGCGTTCCCGAGCTTCGAACTTTATTGTCGAGCCTCGGACTACCGGTAGTACATCCTGGAAAAGAAAAAAAAGAAAAAAACACAAAAGAACATACAACATTCTGTATAAAAAAAAAAGAAAAAAAAGAAAAAAGGAAATCAGACATGCCAAACGAGAGTGAATCTTCCTCGATAAAGAGGAAGATCCATTCACGCGGGAGGTTGAGAGAGAGAGAGAGAGAGAGAGAGAGAGAGAGAGAGAGAAAGAGAGAGAGAGAGGCGTCAGAGAGTCTGACGCCGAGTGCGTCGGACACTTCGCCCCCCCACAACTCTTGAAATGTGCAAAATGAGAATGAACTT